AAAAAAAAAAAAAAAGAAAAAAAAAGAAAAAGAAAAAGAAAAAAGAACCATAATCTGCTAATACCAGGTGTTCCTCTGTCTCTGATGGTTCCTGGGCATGCAAGCATCCTCAGGTCCCCTTGTGAATACCTGTGCATTCCTGTGAGTGCCTTGTGATTTGAGGACATGAACTAAAAACACTTGATTGCCGGGTGTGGTGGCTCACACCTATTATCCCAGCACTTTGGGAGGCCTAGATGAGAGGATTGCCTGAGCCCATGGGATTGAGACCAGCCTGCACAACTTGGCGAGACCTCAGTCTCTACAATAAATCAAAAAAATTATCTGGACATGGTGGTGCGTGCCTGTAGTTCCAGCTACTTGGAAGACTGAGGCAGAAGGATCGACTGAGCCCAGTAGGTTGAGGTTGCAGTGTCTGTGAGCGTGCCACTGCACTCCAGTCTGGGCAACAGAGTGAGAATTCAACTAAAAAGAACCCCCCAAAACCCTTGGCTCCTCCTTTCTTTCTTCTTTTTTTTTTTGAGTTGGAGTCTCACTCTGTCGCCCAGACTGGAGTGCAGTGGCCGCTCCCGCCCACCGCAGCCTCGATCTGCTGGGCTCCGGCAATCCTTCCGCCTCAGCCTTCCAAGTAGCCGGAATTACAGGCATGCGCTACCACGCCCGGCTGATTTTTTGATTTATTGTAGAGATGAGGTCTCGCTGCCCAGGCGGGTCTCGAACCCACGGGCTCAGGCAATCCACTCACCTCAGCCTCCCAAGAGCGCGGGATTACAGGCTGAGCCACCGAGCCCGGCTGCTAGTGTTTCTTCATGCCCCTTTTCTTCCAAGACCATCACACCAGAGGCTGAGACCTGGGAGCATGCCAGGCAGGCAGAGGCCAAGGCTGTGCGTGGCATGATAGCACTGGACCAAGGCTTCTGTGCAAGGCCCTTGGCTTTCTCGGGCCCCTTTTGCCCTAGGGCCCCACGGCTCCCTCCTCCTCTTCCCCCTTCCCGCCCCCTCAAGGAGGCAGCTGCGGCTGAGACCTGGGAAGCTGCTGATCCTTGCTAAACATTGTTGCTCCGGCCGGCCCTCCAGGGTGTGCTTGCCTGGAGAGGACACTGCGTGCTGATCAAGCTTATCGTTGACACACTCCTCCCCTCTTTTATCCTCTTCCTTCTGATCCCTGGAGTGATCCTAGGACTTCCTGCTCGCTCATTCTCAGTGAGATTCCCTGGTACGTCTCCCTTAAGCCGGGCCTAGGGTCTGTCTTATCTTCCCCCCACACTCCGTTCCCGCCCCCTAACTTTTAACATCATCCTGTGACCTAGTCCCTCCCACAACCTGGGCTTCAGCCCAGCCTTGCTGGTGCCTTTCATCTTATCATC